CGGGGGGGTTCCCGTGCAGGATGACGCAGGCGTGTCACCGAAAGTGCGTCCCCCCCCACTACAAGGAGGCGGAGCTGTCGAAGGGGGAGAGCGTGTGCCTGGACCGCTGCGTGGCCAAGTACCTGGAGGTCCACGAGAGGATGGGCAAGAAGCTGACGGAGCTGTCGCTGCAGGACGAGGAGCTCCTCAAGCGCATGCAGCAGGGCAGCGGCACCGCCTGACCCCCCCCGCTCCCCGTCACCCCAATAAACTGGAGGCTCTGGGCCAGCTGGTTTGCTAAACTGGAGGCGCTGGGCCAGCTGGTTTGCTTCCCTCGCCCCCCCAGCCCCCCCTGTGGTGGTCTGTTGGGGTACATGTGGGACCCGGCGCTGCTGCTGGGGAGCCCCCCCTTGCTGTCCCCAGCCACCACGTGCCCTGTCCCGGAGGGGGGTGCCCCTGGGTGCCCCCCCTGTCCCCTGCCCAGGCCCAGCCCATGTAATCCCCAGGATTAGGCAGAGCCGGGCTGAGCCCCTCGTAATCCCCTGCAGGGTGGGGACGGGGCTCTGCCCCTCCCTGTCTGCCTGTCGGCGGGGGGGACCCACACAGGGACACCCCGGGAGGGGGACAGCCCTGGGGCAGCCAGAGAGGGACAGGCACAGAGGGACACTTGGCCAGGACAGGGCCACCCGGGGCCCTGGAGCAGCTGGAGAGGGACACCGCACAGGGACACCCCCAAGACACCCAGCCCTGGCTGGGGATGCAGATGGGGACCACGCAGACACCCCAGGGACACCCACGCCTGGACAAGGACCATGTGGGGACATCTAGAGACACGGGGAGGGACCACGGGGGCTGAGCAGGGACAGCTTGGACACGCAGGGACGTACCCCTGCCCCCACGGGGACAGGGACACCATGAGAGTGCAGCTCTCTGCGCGGGGGGAGCTCTCTCCATGGGGATGCCCCGGCCCAGGGTGAAGGACACCTGCAGAGGGACACCCCAGGGGTGACACCCACCCAAAGAGACTCAGGCCATGGGTTGGCAGCGTCCATCAGTCAGTCTGTCTGTCTGTCTGTCCACAGCCCGGCACCGTCCACGCGTCAGCGCCTGCTGGGAAGTGGGTCAGGCCATGCAGGGTGCGGGTGACAATGCGGGTGACAGCGCGGCTGGTGGCCCTGTGGCTCCTGTTACAGGCGCCTGTGGTTCCGGCCCCTGGGGAAGGACGTGGGGTGCCAGCGCCGGGGGTGTCACCAGGCGGGGTGATGGTCGTGTCACCAGGCACCGCGGCCGTGGGGCGTGCTTGTGCGTGGCGGCCCCACGGCTCGGGGTACGATACCGGGGGGTGTCTGTCCATCCCCTGTCCCCCCCTCCATCCCCGCAGCGAGCTGTGCACGCCTCGCTGCCCTCCAGCCGCCGCGGCGCTGCCGGGGACATCAATATTTCAGGAGGAGCAGGCGGTGACCTGGAAAGGCAGCGGCCCCCACCGCCCCCCCGCCCTGCAGCAGTCAGGCCTCGCTCTCCCAAAATAAGACCATTTTTAATAAATAATTTTCCACCTTTTGGTTCCTGTTGCGGGTTTTTCCCGTTCAGGATGGGGGTGGGCGCCCCTGCATCCTGCACCCCCAACCCCAGCTGCCCCCCACAGTTCTAGACCCCCCCTGGGGAGAAGGGGGCACAGGCCCCCCAAGGAGCCAGAACCCCCCCTGGGGGGAATCAGAGCCAGGGCAGGAGCAGCCCCAGAAGGGGCAGGAGGATGGGGGTCTGGCGGGGGATGGCGGCGGCCGTGGGGGCGCAGGGCTCCTGGGGGCATTGGGCATCACCAGAGGGACCCCGGGAGTCAAGAGATGGGGGGGGTGGCCGGGGCTGGGGTCCCCGCAGGTCATGGGGGGGCAGGCCGTCGCGGTAGAAGGCGGAGGGCGGTGCGGCCGGCAGGGTGCCAGGGCGACCCAGCGCCCGCCCAGGGGTGCCCATCACCGCCACCCCACCACCGCCACCATCTTCCTTCTCCTCCCTCTCCTTCTCCTCCTTTTCCTTCTCCCCCTCCTCCTCCTCCTCCTCCTCCTCGGGGCAGGCGTCGAAGTCGCGAGGGCGCAGGTGGCGCAGGTCGGTGCCGCGGCGGTGGGGAGGGCTGGCGCAGGGCACGGGGGAGCTGGAGACGCGGGTGCGGCGGAACCAGGCCCAGAGCGGGCGAGCGCGGCAGTCGCAGGCCCAGGGGTTGGCGTTGAGGCGCAGGAACTGGAGGGCGGGCAGGGCGGCCAGCGGGTCCCCGGGCAGGGCCACCAGGCTGTTGTTGAACAGGTAGAGGATGGTGAGGCGGGCCAGCCCCTGGAAGGCGCGGCGGTGGATGGCCACCAGGCGGTTGGCGTGCAGCAGCAGGCGGTCCAGGCTGGGCAGGCCTCGGAAGACGCCCTCCGAGAGCGCCCGCACCCGGTTCCCGTGTAGGAAGAGGTGGCTCAGGTTGGCCAGGTCGGCAAAAAGGTCGTCCTGCGGGGGGGAGGGGGGAGAAGGAGGTGGGTATGGCGTGGGGACCCCCACTGGGGAGCCCCCAGCCCTGCCCCACGTCCCTGCATGGTGGGCGTCCCTTGGTGACCTGCCCGTGGGTGTCCCCAGAGTCCTGCTCCGTGGGCTGTACCCGGAGCCCTGCCCCGTGTCCTTGTGCTGCAGCCATCGCCCTTCCCTGTGTCCCTGCCCCATGGGCATCACCCGCAGCCCTGCCCCGTGCATGGGGCATGGGGATATGTAGGAGCCCCCTCCCACGTCCCTGCCCCACTGGCGTCACCCGTGACAGCGCCTCATGGCCCTGCTCTGTCCTATATCCCCACTCCGTGGGTGTCACCCGTGTCCTGTGTCCCTGATCCACGGGTGTCACCCATCACCTTGCCCTGTGGGTGTCCCACAGAGCCCGTGCCCTCAAGTCATCCCCCACCACCCTGCTTCGAGTGCCTCCCCCATCCCCTGCCCCACAGCACCCCACAGCTGGGCTGGGGCAGCCCCAGGCGCGGACCTGGAGGTAGAGCAGCCCGTTCTCCTGCAGGTAGAGGTACTGGAGGCTGTGGAGGCCACGGAAGATGCCGCTGGGCAGGCTGGCCAGCTGGCACCGGTAGAGGTGCAGGGCCTGCAGGCGCCGGAGGCCGTGGAAGGTGTCGGGGGCCAGGACGCGGAGGTGGGGGTTGTCACCCAGGTCGAGCTCCTCCAGGGCGGGCAGGTGTCGGAAGGTGCCCGGCTGGATGGAGGAGATGTTGTTGGAGTAGAGCCAGAGGGTGACGGTGCTGGGCCCGAAGGTGCCCGCCCGCAGCGCCCTGATGACGTTGTTCTGCAGGAAGAGGCGGCGGGCGCCGGGCGGGAGCCCCGCGGGCACCGAGGAGAAGTTGTTGGCCTGGCAGCTGACGGTGGGCGCGCAGACGTAGCAGGTGCAGAGCGCGGGGCAGGCGGGCGCCCCGCCGGGCACCCACGCCAGCGCCGCCAGCAGCAGGGCCGCCAGGCGCCCGCCTGCGGGCACAGCGGGGCGTCAGCGCGGGGCACCGTCGGGGGCACTGCCCCGGTCCGGCCCCGCGCCCCCACCTCCCCAGCAGGGTCCTCCCAGGCAGCCCCTGGGGCACGGGGCACTCTGGGGACGGCACCCCCAGGAGCCCCCCAGGGCCATGCCCACCCACACAGCCATGGTCTCCTTAGAGAACCTCAAGGCCACGACCACCCCATAGGCCTGAACACCCCCAGGAGTCCCTCCAAGTCCATGGTCCCCTGGGAGAACCTGAAGGCCATGATCATCTACATGGCCATGGTCCTCCAGGAAACTTCCAGGGCTGTGACCACACATACGGCCACGGTGCCCTTGCAGAATCCCAAGGCCATGATCACCTCAAAGGCTGGACACCCCTAGGAGCCCCCCAGGGCCATGACTATCCACGGGGCCATGATCCCCTTGGAGAATCCCAAGGCCGTGATCATCCCATAAGGCTGGACGCCCCTAGGAGTACCCCAGAACCACAACCACCCCACAGGGCCCACATGGTGCCCTGGACACCCCTAGGAGTACCCCAGAACCACAGCCACCCCACATGGTGCCCCAGGAGTCCCCTCATGGCCATGACTACCCATAGGGCCATGGTCCCCTAGGAAAACCCCAAGGCCACGGTCCTTTATAAAACTCCTAGCACCGTGACCACACATGTGGCCATGGTCCCCTTGGAAAACCCCAAGGTTATGACCACCCCATAGGGCTGGACACACCCCTAGGAGCCCCCCAGGCCCATGTCAGCCCCATAGGACTGTGCTCCCCAAAGAACTCCCCATAGGGCCATCCTGCCCCATAGGATCATGCCCCACAGGGCTGGGCACCCCAAAAAACCCGCAGCCCTGCTGGACTGTGTTCCCCTGAGACCCCGAGCACCATGCCTGCTCCCTGGGGCCACGGTCCCCCGGGACCCACATGGGTCCCTGGCCACCCCACACGGCCACATTCCCACAGGACCATGCCCAACCCAAGGGGCCGTGCACCCCTGGGACCCCCCCGCCCCGGGCTGTGACTGCCCCTATGGGGCCACGCTCCCCTGGGACTCCCCAGGACCGTGCCCACTCCATGTGCCCCTTCCCCCCCGGGTCCCCCCCAATCCCCAACTCGGGGTGGGGGTTGTCCCCCGACAGCGGGGTGGTGCCACGTGCACGCGTGCTGCCGCCACGTGCGGGGTGGGGCACGCGTGGGCGCGGGCTGACGCTCTTGCCGGTGACACGCGCCCGCCGC